GCTTCTTTGTCAAAGACTCTGGTCCAAAGACTATAACTTCTGTTTTGTCTGCATTCAGAAGCAGAAAGTTAAGAGTCATCCACATTAGGCTCAGCCTTTAGGCTTGTTGATCTGGTTAGAAAATATAAAATGGGGAACATAACCCACACATACAGTCTGACCTCTGCTGTGCTTGATGACTTAGTGGGCAAAGCAGCCTCTCTATCCAGACATCTCCCTTAAGCTGAAGGCCATCCAATTGTCACCATGGCCTAATGTGACATCCACTGCTGTTTTTCTTTCAGATGGCCAGCCTTGGCCTAATGGAAAAACTGAGTAATCATCCAGATCTCTGTTCCTTTACCTGCGGCTCCTCCTCCCCTCCCTCCCATTTGATGAGTCAGGGATTTCAACAGCTGTTTTCCCCCTCTTTGTTCCGAACCATGACATCACAGCCACGTAGAGCTGCTGCGCAGTGCATTTAGCTTTCACTGCTGTAATGAGGATAAGAGCAGGAGGCGTTCACTAGGATGTAGTTGCATAACAGATCTGGTTTCTTTCCAGCTCCTAATTACACTTTGAAGTCAATGCTGTATCGAACACACAATCTGTTTCCAAATGAATGTCAAGCCAGTCGTATAAACAGTTTGTTTAAGCATAAAAATGTCATGCCTGTGAAAGCCTGATAGCTTGCCTCATCGCCGAAGTGCGTTCTTCAGCTCAGAATTTATCAGCTGCTGCGGGAAAACAAACAGTGTAGGCCTCAAAGCCGATGCAAGCAGAAACTAAGCCAACTAAAACAGCAACAGTGTTTCCACTGTCCAGTGTTGGTGAGGTTTGGTTGATTAGATACAGCGTCCTTGAAGAGGGAAGGAAAACCGCTAGCACCCCTCAGCAATCTGTAGGAAATCAACATATTTCCACATTTCATCATAGCAAGAAATATGAATCTCACAAATTTTTCAAAATACAAACTCAAAATGATTTCAGTTTTAATATCGGAAAACAGTTTCTACGGATCTCTCCAACTTTATTGTGTAAACAGATGTCTGTTCCCACAATCTGAGCAGTCCTTGTGCACATACCAGCACCCCCCTTAGCCAGCCCACACTCATACACATGTTCAAAGTTTGTTCAAGGGCCAAAAGCCAAAAGCTGCTATTTGTTTCTGAGATGGGAGAGCCACAGCTGTTATCTCACATATGCAGCCATAATGTACTAATGATGTTAACCTCCATTCATAAAATACACACATGAAATTACTTTACACCTTTGGTAGTTTCCAGCTTTCCTAAACATTCATAGATTTTGAAACTTGGAAGTCATTTTTGCCCCTTTTTGTTTTAAAAAAAATCTCTACATGACATTTATCATAATATTATTCCAAAAATAACTTTGCACAAAGATTTATAATGAGCCTAATTTCCTTATGGCCTTTTCATTTATAGTTTTAGTTGTTATTTTGACAGGTTGGATCAATCTAAACTACATTTAGACTTAGACAGATTTTATTTTGTAATTTGTTTTATTATTTTATTTAGTACAACTCTCTAGACTGTTTAATTTTTTAAAGTGCAACCTTGATAAAGGCAAGCAGCAGTGATGAAAACACTGTGAACACTACATCTACACACAGGGCCTGATTGTGAAATATTCCAAATACTGGGGATTTAATTGCATTTGCAATTTTATTTTTAAAAGATGTAAAAAAGTAGGCGTGTTGAGGCATTCTAGAAGGATCGGGGTTGAGTCAAGAAGTGCTAACTGGTTGGGTTCTACCCCATAAAATGAGCAATTTGAATGTTTTACAGGAATATTAAGAGTGGCCCTAAAAGAATGATGAGGTTCAAAGTCATGCATTTGGAGATAATAATGATCATTATAAAAAAGAATGTAATAATAACACTCAGAGTGCAGCTTGCATAGGTAACCTATCTCAAAGTAAGGCATAAATAAAACTTAAAGACGATTTGAATAACCAGGATTCGTCCAGAGTTATGTTTTAAATGGAGGGAGGAAAAACAGCTTTGTGCCGATGAGCAACACGTCCCCCATTATCTCTTTGCATGTTTTTAGATTTTTTATTTCTTAGTAACATGCCACAATATTTAAGTTAAGCCTTTTTTTGTTTACCCATTGGTTTCATTTTTCTACCATGCTGCTGAATTAATTATTGACATGATTTTACTTTTGCTATTTCTTATGGTTTGAATATGTTTCAATGCACACAGAATAACCCTCCATCCATCTTCTGCCATCGTGGCAATAATAGCTTTGCATATGGTGTTTAAATTTGGAGATCCTCCACGGTTTTGTCGATAGAATATCATCTGCATTTTTATGAACACAGAAACGTAAAAAAAAGGTTTGCATACGCTTTCTGCTGAACCGCAAACTCAAATCACCTTGCACCTTCTTTGAATATCTGCTCTGGGAGTACAAACAGGTTTGAACCTTTTTTTAATACATGCAAACCTTCTGATGACGAGGTCTGTAATGGTTGTAATATATACATATACTGCTTGTTTTATTTAGAATCTTACTGAGTGGATTTTAACTTGATTACTATTTGGCTTCTATTGAAAAGCTTCCAGTCCAATATGGCTCACTTTTCTGGACAAAAATGGTAAAGTTGGTGGGATAGACTCAGTAAAAACTTTTATACTTTTGCAAAATTCTATGTACACACCAATACTGCTTGCAGAAGGTCACTATGGGTCTCTGGGAGCCAAAAATGGAGCTAAGTGGAATATTCCTATGGCGTTGGCTGAACAACTGGCCACATTTCTCCTTTCTTAGTTTGTACTTTGCTAGCAGCCTCAACCTTTAGTGCTTCTACTTTCAGTAAAGCATTCACAGCCGGTGTTATGCTTTAAACCCTCAGATTTAGAACAGAAATGCTTCCTGTAGGCCATAGATAAGGCCACTACTCACAGTCTTCCTCCAGACCGTAATCATTACCCTCTCTTGTTAGGTCAGAATGTTCTTTATCCACCACAGGCCTGTCATCATCCAGACATGTTTGTATTTAAATCACTCTAATGTCCAAAAGAAAAAAGAAAAAAATTTCAGACTCTACTTGTGTTCAAAGACTTTAAACTGTAGATTTTTCATGTTATTCGATTAGGTATTAGATTAACTCTTTTAAATAACTTTGCTTCATATCGGAACAAGGTATTGTAATTTACTTCTTTAAACTAGCTCACCGTTAAGCTTGTTGAACTTAGACACTTTCAGCTTCTCTGAATAAGAGCCCTTCCTCATTTACTCACTTATACTCTGGGAAATACATGAGAATTACATTTTTTATATAGGAAAAATAGCTAAAACTTCAAAAACAAAGGCTTTCTCATATTGTTTCTCCTTAATGAGTCTGTAAACAGCAGATG